TATTTCGTTTGGGAGTGGGATTGGGCACTAAAGTTCGGCGCGAGCAAGTTGCGTCTTTTGAGTGTGCACGCGATCGTGTGGTGGCTGGTGAACTTTGGCAGTTGTTGCAAGAAGTGAGCCACAAACTGCTTTGTTCCCAGTTTCGTATGCGCAGTATCGCCAACTCCTGGCCCAAGTGCTTGGAAGTTCATGTCACTTCGCCGTCTCCACGCGCAGGTTTTGCGACTGAGGAATATTCCAGGGATTGCCACGTCGCGGACATTCGACAAAGGGAACGGTGGGCATCCGAACAGTCGTTTAAAACCTACCTCGACGTCGTGTCGGCCGCGCACATGCAAGCAGCTTTCCATTTGCGAGGCGTGGGGCGAGCCCAGGCCTACAGTGAGACGCATTTTGCTGATTTGTTTCCTTCTGGAGTTTTCCGGTCGCGAGATGGCTGAGCAAGTGTTGGATTTTGACGGCTTCGAAATCCAGCTGTCCCGACGCTTCAATGTCTTCCACAGGCTATGCTCCTTCCCTCACGTCGCGGCCGGCACGCCCAACCATCTATTCGTCATACCAGGGCACGGACGCCCGGGCCTGACAAACTCGGGCAAATTTCGCAACGACCATCTTCGGCGAGGCGTGTCACATCCTCTCATGAGGCACCTACGGCAACGCCCGGTGCCTTTCCGCCCTCCTCGAGCAAGGAGACGCCCCCCTTCCACCCACCAGCCTCAGCACTGCCCAACTCGCTCAGCGGTTCGGCGGGCTCGGTCTCCGCTCCGCCAGCGCTGACCGCTATGCAGCGCACTGGGCTTCCTGGTGTGACACCTTGCCCGTCATCCAAGCCAGGGCGCCTGCTGCGGCCGCCCGTCTCCACGCTGCCCTACAAGGCGACGGGGCCTTGCCCTCGGCCGCCGCAGCAATCCATGCCCAGACCCAGCTGCGCCATGTTGGTTACGAGGCGCCAGAATGGGCCGCCCTCTGCTCCGGCGCCGTCCCCCCCACCCCTGACCGTGCTGACAGTCTCTGACGACCCCTGGCCGTTCCGGGGATGGCAGCGCGTCGCTGCCCGTGCGTGCGATGAGCGCGCGTACGAGACGCATCTTGCTGACCTCACTCCTGCGTCTCGTGCGCTGCTGCTCTCGCAGGCAGGGCAATTCGCCTCCCGCGCCCTCAACGTTCTGCCCACCCGCGATGACGTCGCCATCCCCAGCGCGCAGTTCCGTGTCCTCTTGCTGCGGCGCTTGCGCCTCCCCCTCCCGCTCGCACCGCGCAGATGCAGCTGCCACGGTGTACTCGACCCGCTCGGCGACCACCGCACCGCCTGTGCGACGTCGGGCGTGCTCGCCACTCGCGCATTGCCCTTGGAGCATGCCGTCGCGCGCGTCTGCCGTGAAGCTGGCGCGCGGGTCGCACGCCACGTGCGGCTCGCAGACATGAACCTTGATGTTCCTGTCTCTGACGAGCGGCGCATCGAAGTTGTGGCGAACGGCTTGCCCCTCTGGCATGGCTCTCAACTCGCCGTCGATGCGACCATCGTCTCCCCCCTCACCAGACGCGGCGAGGCCCACCCGCACGCCGACGTCCAGCCGGGCTGCGCGGTCGCCGCCGCCGCGCGCCGCAAGCGCACCCAAACCTACCCGGAGTTGGACCGAGGGCGCCGCTGTCGGCTAGTCGTCGTTGGCGGCAGGTTTGGTACCGAAGCCGTACAATTCCTGCGCCTCCTCGCTAGCCATCGGGCAGCGTCGGTGCCGGCCCACCTGCGGTCCGCCGCAGTCGCCTCCTGGGTCGCTCGCTGGTCCGGACTGTTGGCTGTCGCTGCCCAGCGCGCCTACGCAGCCACGCTCCTCGAGCTCCCCCCTGCCGCCGAGCTCGGCGACGGGCCCATGCCTGCCTTGCATGAGGTCCTTGCCGATGCGCGCTGGGGGTGAAGGCGCGCAGTCCCCCTTCCCCAAGCTCCCTTCACCCGTAGTGCGCAGGTAGCACAGGGACCCGGACGTCTCGTTTAGCAGTCGTCAAAAAAAAAAAACCTCGTCTTCGTCCTCACCGAGCTCTCGCCTGGGTCGGTGGTGGACGCGGCTTTCAAGGTTCAGCAGGCATAGTGCTTTCTGGATCTGTATGCTGCTTCTCCTGGCTCAGTGCTTTCAGTCGGGCTTCTTCGAACAGCTAACTCGCTTGTGGGCCTCCGTGGCTTTGGTCTCAGAGCGGGCCTCGGTAGCAGCAGCAGGGTCGCGCGAAGACTTCCAAACTAGTGGCCCAAGAGTTCTTCGGTCTTCCACAGGATGCCATGCGAAAGCACGTTTCACCCAACGCGTGTTTGGAAGATTGATAATTAACATACATCGCCAGGTTCCAATGTTGCCTCAAGCAATTAGTGGAACACCTCGCCCAAACAGCAGGAATTAGCCAGCACATTCCAGTGATGCAACACATCATGCCATGGATCGTCCCACCGGGTATCGGGTGGTGCACCAGCAATTTGATGCAAATGTTTGCGGAAATGAACGTCAATTCGATTCACGAAGGATATGGCGATTTGCATGAGAAGCACGCGAGGCAAACGGCAAGTGAAAATCTATATGACATTCGTGAGACACCAAGCATCCCAGCCAACGATGTGTTGTGCCACCCAAAAATTCTCCACAGTCAGTCCGCCAGGAGTCGTTAGCTGTGGTGGAGCTCGAGCTTCCGTCGTAATGATTTGTGTCTGTTTTTTGGGTTGAAATAAGCCCGACGTCTACTCCACAAATTCAAATCCAGCAGTGCTATTTGCTCAGTTCGCTTCAGCCATCGAGATCGATTCCATAGCCCCGAAGATATTTTAGCACATTACCGGACACATGACGTCCTGATGAGGACAGCGAACAAATTTTGTGCATCAATGAGGATGTTTGCAAGGCAATTGATGGTTTGGTTGCAGAATCGGAGTAGGGACATGCAGGCGTCCACAGAGGCGTCACCCTCGTAAGAATGCAGCCGATGATGTGGACATGCAACCCATGTACGTAAGTTTGCATGTTGTCACCAAACAATATGTGCAAAGTATTCGCGATGAGACTTGTTTCCAAAATTGTTTGGTTGAGCTGGACAGCGGCACGCATGACATTGTATTGTTGACGGAGACTTGGCGATCTGAAACGGAAGAAGTTTTCTCGACACCAGGTCATGGCAAGATATGTTTGAGCGGCGGCCTTGCTCACCGTGATGACGGCATTTATGTTTCACGGCAGTTTTCGGCATTCATGGAGAAGCCGCGTTTTCATATCATGCCTTTAATGTTTCTCACCGCTTATGCATGTTACAGTTTTCACGGCAGAGACGCATGCTTCATGTTTACGCTTGCTATTTTGCAACATCATAGGACAAGCGATGATGGTGTAGAGCAGGGTCATGATGTTTTGGATGCGTTGTTATTGCATATACCCAAGCAGCTATCGCATTTCATTGATAGGTGGTGATTTCAATGCCAACGTATGGGTATTGGCTACACATGACATTTTCCAACTTCTGGGTGTTTGGGGAAGTGGAACCAGGAACGGTAAAGCAGCCCCACAATGCCACATCGGTCGTGTATCGCCACTAAACCGAGCAGACCTCAAGTGATTGTAGAGGTAGAGGTGCACGAGTCGCAGGAAGAAACATATCTCTGCAAAGGACATCACGTCGGAAAGTTTGCAATTCGCGAACTGTCCAGTGCATTCCAGTGCCCAAGCGGTGCATTGAGCACCTGTTGGACACCTCCAGCGGCAGGAGCTGGGCACCAACGCTAGCGACATACCAAAGGCCCATGACACTCCCACAATGTGCCCAGGCTTTTACAGCGTGGTAGCATGATGTGAGCTGCGGCTTGCATGTACAGCCGGCCTTGTATGACAGGCCTGGAATGCTGAAGAGTGAAAGGCCTCAGCCCCTCTTTCAAATCAGCAGTGACACAAAAGCTTCAGCTGCTCACCTCCCATTCAAACGAGCCCGTTTTGACGATTGTGGTCGGTCCGACCGCCTTGCCCGAAGCAGCTGAGGCAGCGCCGCTGCCAAGCACTTAGGCGCAGCCCGAATGTCAGCCAAGCGGTGTTGCGGAGCAAACTTCCACTGTCGCTGCATGAGGGCTGCTTTCTCATATCTCAGGACACTTTTCTTTGCAACCCAACGGCCGCGCTTTTGGATGTCTGCCAAACTGCGCCTGTCGTGGGCACGGTCGTTGGAGGCTCCAGAGTGACGCAGAATATGGTGACCTGTGTACTCAAGAGCGGCGGTGGCTTCCGTCAATTAGCGCTCGTAGAGGCTGAGATTGCAATCAGGAAAGAGAGCATGCTCTGACGTGTCCCAGAGGAACTGCATGACCTCTCGCATCCACCGTCGGTCCGCGAGGTCACCTACGAAGATGCTGTCGTCTGTGGAGCCTTTGTTCGCTCCCCCAGCTTTTCCAGCGCCACCACAATCCCCCAGCGGGGGTATCGCGCCCCTGCCGGCGGAACCAAGGGGTCCTGGGTCAAGCCGAGTGCCTCACTAGGTCTGAGGTAGCCATCGAGCTGGAGAAGGACCAACAGTGCAAGCTGAAGGTGCTGCTGGGCCAGAAACAACACTACGTCGTAGACAAACTCCTCGGGGACTGGCAGTCTCATGGAGCCTGGTCGCTGCTTGCGCCAGCCAGCCAACGCTTCTTTAGCGTTTGGGAGGAAAAGATGCTTTGGTATGTCACACCGGAGAAGCTGCAGACCATAAACCAAGTAAGCTGCCGTCCAAGGTTCCGAATCCTCGTGCTCAAAAAGCCAAGTGAGGTACTTGACGACGTGCTTGTCGAGGTTATTCTTATTGACCTTGGCCTTGCGCTCTCTTGCCCACTTCTCAAAAGAGGCACTCTGCATGAGGTAAGAGTCCAGAGTTTTCTGAGAGACTTTGGCTGCACGCAGTCTGAGGCCCACAGGCAACTCCTTTCCACTGAGGTCGACTTTAGGCTTTCGCTGCGCCCGCCGAGGTTTCGGCGGGGTAGACTGCTTTGAACGGTCCACCGGTGAGCACAGCGGCCTCCTTCTTGTTGTGCTGGCCAAACACAATGCCTTCGGCACGGAGGGAGTCGACGTCTGCGTCGCAGACGACTCCACAGCCCGCCGGCCCACGCGGGACCAAAGGATCTCGTTCTCCCTGAAGTAGGCGCTCAACCTGCTCAGCCTGGACGGGATCCTCACAGTCGTCGCGTGAGACCTGAGGGCCGCTCTTCTTCAAGGCTTTCGCCCAAGCTGAAGCCAGAGCCACTGTGTATGCGCCGGCGGATGCCGTACGAGCCTCAGTGATCCAGCGACCTTCTCGCTTAACTCGCCACGAGCGTCTCAGGACTTCATGGCGGTGACTCCGATCACAATGTTGACTGAGCGAACTTAAGGACTGCAGGTTGGTGAGGAGTGCCGTGGGTTTTTTGCAACAAGCTCCGTACTGACAGCTGTCGTAGGTCACAAAGGACACCCTGCTATCACCAAGCAGTTGCAGAATAGGCGCAAAACTCCACAACAAAGAACTCCTTGGATTCTCAATGGAAAACCCAACCCCCAAGTCCAAGCACAGCCAAGCGATTCGAGCACTGAAGGCAGCCAGTTGTATTCCGACCCGTTCTTTTGCCCGAGCCTTCTTATGGTTCTGAATGTTGTGACGTGCTCTGCTCCAGACCACGCAAGGAGTGCCCATATGAACGTACCAGACCAGACCAGAAAGCAACACATCAAGGACGATACGCTGCACAGCTGGATGGGTCAGATCGTGATGAGGCGCTCGACATACATCAAGAGGTTGAAGACAAGGCAACCCTGCTCGATCTATAGCTTTTGTGAGGTTTCCCGTGCCACTAAAGAGTTCCCAAGCAAAACGACCCTTGAACCCGCTATCTGGCTCTGGTCCGCCTCGTCTCTTCTCGAATCCCTCGTCGCCGGCAGCACCACCTTGCTCGAAAGAGGACATGGTCAGGTGACCACAAAGCGGGACAAAGGCTTCGAGGCAGAAGTGGGAGGATCGTAAAGCCGTGAGGGTTTGTCAGCCGGGTTGTGCTCAGTACGAATATGCCTTATCCTCCATGTCATTCGTCCCCCCACTGCATATGCACAAGCTTTGCGGCACACTCGGTTGAGGGATGCCGAAGTGGATCTCCCCTTTTCCAACGCCAGCACTGAGACCAAGCTGTCACTAAGTGTGAAGACAACCTTCCCCAAGTTGCTTGATGAACGAGCCCAGCGTCTGAGGCCCATCACACATACTCGAGCTTCTTTGGGGTTTATGTGCTCGGCTGGGTCCCTCCAAGGAGCAGCCTGGATCAGGCCCCAACGTCGGGAGTCGTGCCAACAGTCATGCACAGGAGGATGGAGGTTGGCCTCCAGGAGGGTTGGCTCAGCGATTTTCGCCGGGCCAAAGAGCTGCTTTCGCCTGCGTTCCAAGGGTCGCCCAGCGACCAGATCCAGGTCTTCACGAAGCTGCCTGCCGTACTCCGTGCCGATCCCACAGGTGACAGTGGCCCACGAAGTCTTGTCTGATGGGGCCGTCTTGCACAGCTGGCACCTTATGCACCAGCCTTCCTGGAATAAATCTCCAGTGTTCACGAACACGGAGCTCACGATCAATTTCTTCCCGGGTAGCCTCCGTCTTCATCAAAAAGAATCCATACATTGACGCGTCGCCAACATGGACCGTGCTAACCCGAGGGGCTGCCATATCGACCTCCACTAAGAAGATAAGTCCCATGACCTGTCGAAGTTCCTTGCGCACATTCGGCCACACATGACCTCTGCGCCCAAGGTGTAGCGCCGCGAAGCGATAGCAAGCCGAGATCACCGACACGCAGGACCGGTTCAACTGGAAGTAGAAATTCACATGGCCAAGCCAAACACGAAGGACTTCACCAGAAACTCGTTGTCGACGCGCCAGAGCCTTGGTCGCCAACCATAGCCGCCAGGCCCGCTTCCGAGTGTCACGAACCACCATGCCGCCGCCCTCAAAGTTGAACTCCAAGCCGAGGGACTCGATGACCGGGTCCCCCGCCTTGTCCGTAACCTCAAAGGGAATCCCGAGGCCAGCGAAGCGGTCCGCAACAGCGTCCATGACGTCGTTGACCGGTTGTTGCCCGAGCCCAATGATATTCACGTTGTCGACATAGACCCCCACCCCAGGCTCGCTCGCACCCACTCGTGGCGGGGGCTTCTTGTCCCGGATAAAACGGTCCTCTTCAAGGCTGCCTCCGAGAGCTGTTTGATGCACAACAATCTCGTTGGCCAGGTAGAGGGCCCAACTCCATCCCATGCACATCCCACGGAAGGCGAAGAACAGAGGCTCGTCATCCGCCGGAGTGATGTACTTCTGGGTGGCGTCGTCGAAGATATTGTCTACCTCAAAGCCCATGCGCCGAAGGTTTCCGGCTGTGTCCACATCGTCCGTGCAGAACCAGCTTGAAACCATGTCCAGAGAAAAGTTGTAAAAACAATCCCCCACGTCACCGGCAGCCATTGAAGGGAGACAGGCTTCACTGACTGGTCCGCAGCCCGAGCCAACAAGGTCCCCGAAGTCGACATCGACCATCCCAGCTGCCGTAGCCAGGCAGTCGTAGGAGGCCGCCGGTGTCGTTGATTAGACTGGCGAGCGTCCACAATCAGCCGCTGCATCCCGTCCTTTTTCCGAACCACAAAGAAGCCAACCCTGGCCTTTCGTCTGCGTCGAAAGGTGAGCAGGCCAGCATCCTGGAGAGCATGGTAGAATTTGAGGCGCAGTGCTTTATCGTTCCTGAGGCGAGGGTCCCAATACGGCTCAATGGGATCACTCGTCTCCGCTTCCATCTCCAGCTCGCCAGGGCTCTTTTCGATGAGTTCGGCGAAATGGTCCAGGTAAACACGTGCATGCGGAGGTAAAAGTCCATGTGCTGGTAGTACAGGGCGCCGTCGATGAAGTACCTTGATCTTATCCATGTCACAGTCGGCAAGGTGCGCAGCCTCCTCCATGTAGAGGTTGGCCTTCGCGGCCAAGTCGCGGATTGCCGTCTCCTCGTCAATGCCAGGCGGCGGCTCTCCAAAAGCAGCCACCCTCCTCATCACATCATTCATCATCCACGTTTGGGACTGTGTGAGAGGAAGGCTGCAAGGTGCTGTATCAAAAGGTGCCGAGGCGAGATCGTTCAAGACCTTGAAGGCACCATCCACTCGCCGCTTCAGCGCTTGCACCGGGTCCGATCCCACCGATCTCCACTTTGACAGCCGAGGCAGTGGGAATGGCTCCCCATGCTTCCGATCCTTCGACCGGAACCGAATTCCAAAGTCACTCCATGCATCCATGTTGCCGGTGCGTATGCGGAGTCCAGGCTGTTGCCCCCGACAAAGACCCCGCCACAAGTGACCTCAATCAGGCCTTTGCCCCGGCTCCCGAGGAGCCAGGGCTGTCCTTGTCCGCCTTCTCCTCGTTCTTTTTCTTCTTCTTTTTGCGTCCCTTGCCGTTGGGCGACTCCTCGTCCGAGGTGTCCTCGTTCTCCCGGTCATAGCCTCGGCCACGGCCTTTCCGCTCCGCTTTGAAAAGCCTCTCCTGCTTCCAGATGGCAGCGCGATCTTTCATTCTGCCGGACACCCACTCACTGAATCTCGTGGTGGTAGCCCGACCATCCGGAAGCGTGGCAGTTCCCGCCACGATGTCCAGCCCCGTGTAGTCCGGCTGTGCCGGCGATCTCTCCACCGCCAGCTCGGTCTGGATCATCCAACGGCACAATGTCTCACCACACGCCAAGGCACTGCAGTCAAGCTGATCATAAGAGTGCATGAGCCGAAGGACATCACACAGGTTACGATGGACATGTGAAGCGGCATTCCTCGATGAAACCCCAGACAGCCGAAGCCACTCGGCATGGTAACTGAGAAAGTTCCCAGGGCCCTCGCTGATACTTTCATGAAGCTCCTTTGCGGCACGAACTCCCGCAATGGGAAACTCGTCATCCTTGGGCGATCGCATCAAAGCCACTGCCTTGGCGAGGTCCAGCTTGCGCTTTCCTGCGCCATCCTTGTGGTCTCCAAGTAGCCGAACATCGCCACGAGCCGCCTTCCAAGCCGCAAGCCCGCTGCTGTGGACTCTCTCCACAAAGACTTCCTCGCCGTCGACAATCGCAACCCCCTTGGATGCAAAGGCCACGCCGGTAGCCTCGTTATCCAAGAGGCCCGCGTCGATCTCGGTACCAAAGTTCCGATGGGTCGGGTCCGCGATCACCCACAGGACGGTGTCGAGCTCCTCCACGGCACCATCACCAAGCACGGAGGCCATCAGCTGGGCCCGCCTCTTGTAGACACTGAGTTGTGCTCGCCCCACAGGATCGTGAGCGTACACTTCAGCTGCTATGTCGTCTGGGAAGGGGGCCCTCCGATCCAAGACTCTGTGCCGGATGGCTCCCAGACTATGGCGCTCCAAGTCATAGTCAGGTGTGAGGGCGATCCACTCTGCTCCAGCAACCCTGTGCAGAAGAATGCGGTGATGCCAATTCAGACCATTAGCGTCTCCAGGAAAATTCACAAGGACCTGGACCTCAGGAATGTCCAAGGTCAGATTCCCCATCGTTCGATTTGGCCCGAAGCCTTAGGTCAGATGGCCGCACCGGCCTCGCCTTGGGAAGAGGGGACACCGAGGTCGATGTCCGCGAAGATGGGGTATCCAACTCCGACGGTGAAGTTATCGAAGGTTCCAGGGTTATGGCGGGCAGCGATACAGGAGTTCGTTTCTTCTTCCAGCTCAAGTAGAGAATCACTGCACCCAAGACCCAAGTGATCACCAAAGCCCGATAGCAGACTAACAACCACCACCTTGAAGAATCCCTCTCCGCGGCCGACTGCTCCAAGTCTTCAAGCAGCCGCCTTAGCGCCTCGACTTCCCGGCGAAGAGATGCAACCTCTGAAGCGGCAAGCTCTGAGACAGAAGGACGACGGAGGTCACACCAAACAAGGTATCCGAGGATAGCTCCCCACGGCCAGGTCGAGGACATGCGCCGGAAGCTTTAAAACAAGGAGGTCTCGAGAGGGAGATTTTCGGGCACAGATGAACGTTTACAGGGCCTTAGACCCTGCAGGCATGTAGCGCTCCGAGCAGCGTGGTGGCAAGTGTGCTTTGCAAAGCACGCTCAAGAAACCCTAACAGCGGCACGGCCAGCCCTGCTTGCCAGCAGGGCGGCAAAAGCGCACTGAGCCCGGAGCGACTCAGCGTTCCAGCGCCCGCCAACGTCGCAGGCGAGGACGCAAAGGCGCGGCGGCCCAGGTCGCGTCAGTGCCTTGCAAGGGCGCCTGTCAGAGGGTGCACGATGCGCGTCTATGCATGCTCGAGGGCTTGTGGCTCGGCGGGTGAGCAGTCCACTGGAGGGCATGCGGCGTGGCGGTCGCCATCGACAGAGGGACCCGCATCCGCCGCCACCTGGTTATCAGCATGCGGTCGGGCGGCAGAGCATGGAACTGCGCACCGCAGGAATCTTGAGGAAGTAGAAGGCTTGGGAGGCGAGCTTTAGGCAGGCAACAAAGCTGAGGAAGCACACGGCTCTGCAGGCGAGCTCCAACCCCAAGCTTCGATCTAGCAGAAAGAAGCTTGAAGTTTTTCCAATCGGTTTTCATGTTCAAAGGTGTCGTGTGCCACATCTCGCAGTGGCAAGGCCTCCGTGCCACTGCCTTCCGGCATGGCTGCTAGTCAGGATTAATATTGCGACAAAATAAGTTTCAAGAACATTCAAAAGGCAGGTTTTCTGCTGCAGAGAAGTTATTTTCCCGCCAACCTTCTTACAGCGCGCTCTGGCGTACTCGCTGCTTGAATTCCCAATGGCGGGAGCGGATTGGAAAACTCGCGGTCGTGCGCGTTACTTTCGGCTGCCTGCGTGATTGCCCAAAGTCGTGTCGGAAAACTGGAGCTACTACGCTGCTACAGTTACCATGGCGGCGACAACGACTACAGCACTCATACAGTTTGCGCTGCCAAAAATTTTGCGATGGCAGAAAATATGTTACCCTGCCGCTACGGCTGTTGCTGCTGTTGCTGCACGGTTGGGCTGCGGTACGGCTACGACTGCTGCTGCTGCTGCTGCTGCTGCTGCCAACTACTCCTGCCGCCATGTACCGAAAACGAGGACCCCAGCAACTACACATCAACTTGCAGCGACAGCACACCACAGCACACCCTGCAACTCGAATTCGCCAAGAGCTGGATGTGGCAACGGGGTCGCAAAATTATGCATTCGACGGGCCAGCTGGCCACCACACGAAACAAGCTCGATTTTCGCAACCACTTGCCGCGATACCGGACCCCGCCAGACGCGTCAGCATCGTTGCGTCTCTAACAAGAGTCGCGTGGGTGGCATTGCGATATGGAAGGCCACCAGGCCCCCACAGCATTGATGATGGCAACATCGGGCGGCAATTGGTTGTGCTGCAGGCCTCCAACTGCCGTAGGGGCCGGGCTGAGGCAGGACATCAACATGCCGCCTATGCTGAACAGCGGGCACTTGCAGGTTGGCAGCCTCAAAACCACGTACTGTACCAGGTGCAATACCACAGGTACAACTAAGTTACTACTACAAGCAGGACGCAGTTTTTGCATTTTGGGCAGCCACCCCTGCATGCAGGACCTGTTATTTGCTATCTTGATTATTCTTAATTCTTAGTACAACAATAATTTACCATTTCACTCCACTTACAATGCAGCCCGAGATTCAGAAATACTCTTGCATCTCGGGCAGCCACTCTTAGGCCTCCAAGTATGTTTCAACTTCTCCCGTGTACTACCACGTACTACAACATACTACCACGTACTGCCAGATACTACCACGCACTATCACGTACCACCGTGTACTATACAAAGTACTAAACCGCATACTATACCAAGTAATAGACCATGTACTATGCCAGGCACTATACCACAGGTAATACTAAGTTTACTGCTACAAGCAGAACGTAGTTTTTGCATCTTGGGCAGCCACCCGTGCATGTCGGATCTACTATGTCACTATCTTGATTATTCTTACTATATAATGGTCATTCACCATTTCACTCCACATACAACACAGCCGTGTCCGCAATCTTGCATCTCCGGCAGACACTCTTAGCCAGCTCTTAGCTGTCGGCCTCCCCCTATTTGCTCCGGCAGGCTGGCCGACATGCAGGGTTGGTTGTCCGAGAGAAAATCTTGTTGCTTTCGTGCGCTCGGGCGCCACATGCCAACACCGGCGAGCCTACATCCCGGGGGTTGGTGCACCCAGAAAGCCGAAGGCCGAAGCCTCCCAGAGATCGCAGGGTAGCCTGGCCCCTGAGCGAGTCTCGAGGTGCCACAAGGGGCCGTCTGCCTAATGCCAGAGTCGACAGAAAGCTGGAAGGGAGCGGTGCGTTTGCGGGTGGCATTGCAGGGAATGTTTCATAACGGAAAAAAAAACCTTCGGTCCGAAAGAGAGGCCGCAAACTCTCGTCGGCGAGGCTCTGGGCATATGCGCAAAAAGAAACTTACAGCGGCCAACTGCATGATCAGGCCAAGACATCCCTGACACTGATGTGCCGGGATATGCTGGGGAGGCGACGGCATACAGTGCAGGAGCGCAGTGTGGGAGTTCGTGTCATGCGCACAGCGGCTGTGGGTGGCACACGGGTCGAGGTCGACAGCGGCTCGGAGCATCCTTGACACTTCGGAGCCAACGTGGGCCTGTAAGGTCGTGTCGTCGAAAGTGTGAGCGAATGTCCGTGCAAAACTGTGGAGGCACTTGAAGATGTCGCCAGTGGCGATGTATCTCATCGCCAGGCATCGCAGCTGAACAGCCAAGACCTGATCACCACGCCCCCCCCCCCCCCCTCGCGCGGGTAAGACGTCAATCGAAACTCCCCGCGTGTGCATCTTGCCGTCGAAAATTCTCGGATCTCGGGCCTGCGATGCCCCGTGTGGCTTCGTCGCCTTGTGCACCCTTAAGACGTTTTTACATCCATGCCATCTATGCAGTGCGAGCTGCCGGGCGAAGAGGACGACGAAGACAACGAAGTCAGCGGTTCATGCATGCTCATGCCGAACTGCACAAGTCAGCAGCCGAACGGCTCGAGGCAACTCACGCGATTGGGCTGACGATCGGCTGGATTGCGGATGCTCTTCGGCGTCGAACTTATTAAACGCACCAATGCATGCAGTTTCATTGCGAAGTCGAGCATTGCAGTAGCCGAGGACTAACAAACAAGGTTCATTACAGTTGTTGGGCACGATTTGTTCCAAACTCTGCGACAACTAAATACTTGTCCTTCATGACAGTAAGAGTCTACAGACCAAGCACTCCAAGCGGCCAGCCAAGTATCGAAACTGTACTTATATGGTGAACTCCGGGCCAGCCGAAGCCGCTGAAAGTCTACGCGCTCTGTGCGTATACGTCGAAATCAGAATGTTGAATCTCAACAGACTGCATGGAATCTGTGCTGGGATACAAAAGCCCACTTTCCGCATCCTTGACGCCTTCGCCCCTGAGTGCATTGCAAACCCTAAATTGCGATGTGTGTCTTCTGCCTCGGCGACTGGGGAAGACTTTTGTCCCGCCAGTGCATGGGCCAAAGCATTCTGGCCATCGCCTCTGTATGAAGGGAGGTCCACGTCTTCTTCCCCAGTTCGGGCCCCGGCCTCGGTGCTACCGCGCATCTGCGCTCGAAGCCGAGCCAGGGCTAGGGCAGGCCCGGGTGGACGGAGCCAAGACATCGCCGTCAAAAGTGGAGGAGCCATGGCGCGAAGAGATACGCTCGCGCGGAACGAAATTGAGCCTCCGTCGTTGATGGCAGAATGCCCCGGCACGTGCACAGGCAAATTGCTACATTGCCATTCGTGCGCGTCTGTTCCGGATTCCGCTGCTTCAAGTTCAGCGTCTCTGTATGGTGATGTGGAGCTGCTGCGGTGGATGATCCTCATCTTGATCTTGTGCCGAACAATAGCCCTGCAGAAAGGGCCCATGTCCGTTGATTATGTGGCATTCTGATTCAGTGCGCAGATTGAATTGGATGCAAACGTGTGGATCCTCTAAGAGTCACCCAGAAGCTCAGCAGGAGAACGAACCCTTTTTGCAAGGCTTTCTGGGCGGCTCCGGCAGTCAGGGAGCCGCGTGCCGAGATGCTCCAGCTGACGAGCATCCTTTTCCTCCACAGCAGACGCAATCAAGAGCAAGAGAAGAAATCGACATCCTTCTGTGGTTGCTTGGGTGTTTTGGGTATTCGGCCTTGGTGGGGTCGGGTCGTGTGTGCCGCTGTTTGCTGCTTTTCATTTCCAGATAAAGCCAGGCTGCGGTGGTGTGAAGAAGTGACGTGCATGTGGGTGGGTGCGGGGGTGCGGTGGGAAAGGAGAACACATTCAACACACTGTTTTTCTCGAAACCCCTCTGGGGTTGGGTTCTCGTTTAGTGCTCCAACGAGAGGTGCGTGATATCGGGCCCTATCTTAACGGAAGAGCTTTAGAATACTAAACCGTGGACGGGCCTTGATATTGGGTGTGCGGACGGTGCTGCAGTGCGTGGACAACAGGCGGGAGCGCGATATCGGGCGCGCGGACGTGCGCGGGGGAGGGGGGACGATGTC